AAATCGTGGTATTTCATCAAAATATTATTATTATTCTACTTGTTTAAAAGTTTGCTGAAAATAAACTGATATTCTACAAAAAATTAAAAAAAATTCTGCACTTTGTGGCGCAACAACAAAACCATGAGTGACTCAGCTGTGAAAAACAGAATTTAAAATAAAAATCTTTGGCTGAACTGCAGGCAGTGTTTCCACAGAGCAGAGAGGAAACGAGTCTGGACACTCGCTAAAAATGTTTTTTAATTAGTTTTTGTATTAATTTTCTTTTTGTTTTTAATGATTGATGGATTTCTAACTGTGCCACTCTGCAGCAATGACATTTCTGAGTTTTTAAAAATGTCAACAGCACATAGAGTGAACTTTACTCCAATAACGGGAACACCTGTGGACGCGTACAGGGTTTTTTTTATAACATAAATAAATCAACTTCTTTTTTTCTTTTCTGATTCTGACAGAAGACATCTCTGACTTCTCTCTCCTCCTTCAGAGCTGCAGGACTTTAGAAAACTGAGCCCCACAGTGAGGAACAATGAGCTGAGAGCAACAGCAGAGCGGCGAGGAGTTTGGCGGTGAACAGGCTCGGTGTGACGAGCTAACGGGGCGTCCTACCCTCAGGTCGAGGCTTTGGTCTCTCCAGGCCGCCGTCCTGCATCAGCTCAAAGGAGAAGGACACGTTGTGGACCTGCAGGCAGAACGACCAACACGTTACAAACAGACATGCGTGAAACAGCAGCAGCACAAACACGCCTCGTCTGTCAGCGGACTCGTGATGTCATCAGAGTCGACCTCCAGGAAACCGACACCGCCAGCCAGAGACGCATCCATCACGTCCTCACGAGTAACACGAGAACAAGAACGAGCAGAAAACGGCGTCTATTAGATCGAGTTCGTGCAGCCGCAGAGAGAAAACATGCTGCAGACAAACAAGGAGGCTGCAGGAACTGAACACTGAGCACGGACAAGAAAAGGTCTGAAGAACCTCCTCAGAACATCTGGTTCTGGGTCTGCAGCACCTTCATCTACTGACCAGAGTTCTACCTTCAGACTGTGAATGTTCCAGAGGTCCAGGTCCTTCAAGTCCACAGAGGAGGGTCCAGATTGATCACCTTAATGGACTTTTTCCATCATTTCTGAGCCTCAGAACTTCTTCAGTACATTTTAAATCACTCGAGTCAGATTTTGTGTCTTTTCAAACAATTTGTGAGTGATTTTGGACAATTTTTAATAAATCTGGGATAATTCCTGTGAGATTTTTGACAAATTTTTTGATAAAAACACGTTTTAGTTTTGTTGAAAACCTGCAACCAGATCAGTTCTACGTCCATCCAGGTGTCACGGTCTGAAGCTAATGGGAATTTGAGTGATTTTAGATCATTTTGTGTAATTATTGACAACTTTTCCATCATTTTGAATCATTTTGAGACACATTTTAGGTCCTTTTGCATGTTTTGTTTTAGTAAATTGGGGAAATATTGGGTAATTTTTGACCAAATCAATTTTATATCCACTCCAGGTGTCACTATCTTATTATTTTTGGACAAATCTGAGCATTTTATGGTGATTTTGCATAATTTTGAACAATTTTTGGTCATTAAGAACATTTTTTGACTCATCTTCAACAGTTTTTGTGTAATTCTGGACAATTTTCATGTCTTTTTGAATAATTTGTGAGTCATTTTGG